ATTACATACACACACGCGCGCACGCACAACTTCTGCCAACTGGATGGCTCATGGAGGCTTACAGGACCCAGGCACAAGCTGCTTTTTTTCCTGTTGGCATTTAGCAAACTTTTCCTTTCACACATTATTAATGGCTCATTTGAATGAAGCACTTTTGTTGAAAACTGCAAAATCTGAGCATAAAGTGGCACAGTGACACAGATGTATAGTGCTGTTACACTAATTCCTCTTTGTCGTGAAGAAAATATTTTGTGAGCTAAAGAGCAGGCACAGCCTATTTTCACTACTAAATGAATCACCATCTCTCATTTCAGCCACTCATTGTATTAACAGTTGTTTTATGGAGCCTTGTGTTTGTGTAGTGATCCATTTTTGTCTCTCTCAAAGCAATTGAGAGTATGAGCTGAACTAAGAGGATCAATCCCACTATGTTGTTACTGTGTTTTAGCAATTAATGGAAAAAAGGAAATAAAAGGCAGGCATCCCATGCAAATGCACTCTGCTCGATTTATTGTCACATTTGCATGTTTGCCTTGTGTTGTGTAGGTCAGTCTGTGCGCAGTCGGAGAATCCTTCAGGATGCTCAAGAGGAGGGTCGCCCCTGTCCCAACCAGCTCATCCAGACCAAACCATGCCCCATAAGGCCTTGCTACATGTGGGTGCTGAGTGACTGGTCCCCATGCACAGTAGCGGTATGACAGGTTTTTCGGCCTATATGTTGATGTTCTTTGCACTGTACTGCCTAACAGCTTTGTGTGTTTCCTGTGGTCTGCAGACTTTCAGCATCACATTTATCTAATACGTGTAGTTCAACAATATGCCGCGGTAGCTGTTGCTTCTGTCATAGTTTTAAAGGAGTATCTCACATTCAGCTTTCCAATTTGGACTTCTCGGCAGCCTGCTGCAGTGCTTCAACAGAAAACGATAAACAAATAGGTTAAAATAAAATGAAGAAAACCTTTGCAAATGTTTACTAATGTTGATTTATTGTGTCTCTGCAGGGCGCAGCATGTGGTGAGGGGCTTCGGAGAAGAAACCTATCATGCATTGTCCACTGGGGAAACTGGCATGAGTCTCCTCGTCAGCCAGTGAAGGAGGAACTTTGTGGAGACGTGCTTAGGCAACGTATCCAACAAGAGATGGAGCAGCCCTGTTTCGTCCCCTGCCCTGGTAGAGCTGCATTTAAACATAGTGGATATACTGGATTTGATCGTTTTACACAAATATGTCAAAATTTACATGACTCAGTGATTTTTTTAATTAATGTAGTCCTTTTATATTCACCAAACAATTACATAATCATTGAATCCGTCTAACAACACAGTCAATAATCTTGTTTTTAACAGAAATTCATTTGCTAGGATCTGCCAATAAATTGTCCCTTTTTCCAATTGGCTGACATTTTCAGCCACTAAATAATTGCAGAATCAATAAAAGTCATAGCTTTACTAATGACCCTTGTAGCTCTAGATTATCTAGTTTCGTCCCGTACAGTAGCAGTACAGGGCCTGAGCTCAGTAACTATGAAAGAGACATATTTTAGAATCAATAACCTGAGACGCTTTATTTCTTTGCACTGCATTATGTAACAATACATGACTCCGTAAGGCATGAAAAACCATCATCTGCTAATTGAAGCATTTAGCAGATCACATAGCTGAGAACAATCCCAGAGCTTATCACAGCAGTTTAATGCCTATGGGGAATTCTGCGCACAGAAAGCTCGTTCAAATGTGAATGTAATAATTTTCCAATAAAAAAACAATTATTAGGAGAATGAAAGTGCATTTTCAATACATTTAGTGTTTACTGCAAACACAGTGTATGTAAAATATAAGGAAAAAAATGTTTTATCCTATTTCCATAACAGTTTGTACACTGAGTCGCTTCAAATGTTGACACATGGGCGACAAAAACCTGAAGAAGTTGTGTTGTTCTAAAAAATTATAAAAAAATATAAAAAATAATATTTTATGGTACTAGTACTGAATAAAAAAAGTTCTGTACCAGTTGTAATTCTATAGCATGTAATTCAACAAGTTTGAAATACATACTATAGTGCACATATGCAGGGGTCATTTGCACACCTTTGAAGCCCCTTGCTCAGGGGCGTAATTTCCAGGGGGCTTAGCCAGCCAATAGAACCCCCCCAATAATCAGATCCAGCCAATAGAACCCCCCCAATAAAATTATGAATTACCTTGCATAAATAGCCTGTTGATTGTTTTGACTCATCTCAGTAATTAACAGCAAAATAGCTGCATGTTTAATCATCTGGGAATTTACTGAGATGTATTTATTTATTTAGACAAAGATCTTGACCCCCCCCACCCCACCCCTCCAATGTTTAGCCCAAAGTTACGCCCATGTTATTGCTGAATGGTATATACCGATTTCTGAACAACATCATCTAGCCAACATAATTTTAAGAGAAGGCTTTGCTTATTTTAGAAAGACTATGCCAAACCCCATTCTACCTCTGTCATAGTACTGTAGTATGGCTCTGTAAACCTGTTGTTTATTGAAAAAACAGCGTTGTCTCTGACAAAGAAGTCTGTAAACTTTAAGTCATGATTTCTGTCCAATCAAAGAGAAGTTTGTCAGCTGACATTTCAGTCTTAGACAAATCCCATTACTGGACTGCATTACTATAAAAATGAATATACCTCTGCTTATACCACGTGTAGCTACACTAAAGTGTGAGGTGATGTTTTGGAGACTCCAGACTGCATTGTTCTGTACAGTAAATGTCAGTGTGTCAGTGTGCTGTTTGCAGTGCACATCACACCACATGTCGGTCACTTCTGTGATGGATAACGATAGCAGAGCACCAGTGTTGGTAGAGTAACTGTCTGTAGCTGTAATGTAGCAAAAAGAAAAACATACAAATAAGAAGCGATGGTGAATCTTGGCACTGCTGTGTGCTCTACCTCAGCAGCCAAAAATGCAAAAACTTGTTTTAAACAAAATCAATTTATGCAACTTTTCTGGCAGACTTTTTTGAAATTAAGGCATGCTGCAGCTTTTCAACCTTGTTGTCTGTAGTAAATTAACACTGCATGTATTAATTCAAAAGGAAAATGTAAACAACAATATTGCAGACTTCTTGCATGACATGCTGTTAGTTTGTTATTTTGGTGAGGATATTGGGAACCCCTACAATGAACCTTTGTCGTGATTTTTTTATTGGGTCTGTGCATAGAAAATGATTAAGCTCATTGTTGTAAAAATCACTATAGCAACAGACAGACAGTATGTCATTGTTAACGGACACTCAACTCGTGTGTTCTTTTTTTTAATTTAGGCCACAGTGTGAATGTAGAATTTGCCTTAACCAAGAGAGTTACTGGCCAGCTGACAGTTTTGACCTGCTTCACTTGTCACTGTCTGCTTTTCCACCCTGCGAGTCTATAATGAAGCATTACTGTCTTTAGGCATATGCTAGCTGAACAAACTCTATAGAATATATTTGATTTTCTCTCTGTTTTTTCTTTTTAAAGAGAGAGTCATTATGGTAAAAATCACCACCCCTCAAAAAATGACCTCCTTACACATGGCTACTTCCATGTATGGCTTTTGTTAATTTGTCCTTTGAAGAGAGCGAGCAGCGCTTGCTTTTGTTCATATGCCTCTCACTCTCCTCTGATCCTCTCCTTGATTCATCACTCAAACCGCCTTTGCTCTGAGTCTTGGCTCGGGATCAGGAGTGTTTGATGGCAAGAGCAGATGTGTGTGTATGTGTTCATGTAAGTGTTGATGTGATGGTGGCAGACGCAGAGTAGGGGCCAGAGGAGGAGTTGTTGACATGCTTGTGATGGATGTGTGTGTGTGTGTGTGCTGTATACTGTAGCTATTGCCACAGCATGTTTTCAGGGTTCTAGCAGCATGAGTGAAGAGCTGATAGACTGTATCCATATAAAGATGAAAGATAATGAGTTGCTCCAATCCACAGACAGTTACTAATGGGTGTTCAGGGCAAAGAATCAGAGAGTTGTTCTGGCTGAGTAGCTGAGGCTTTGGGTGATATTATCACTACAATGTGACCCTATCAAGAAATACAAAAGATATTTGTGTTTGGCATTCAAAAACCAAACAGCCTTTATCCTTTAAAAAAAAAAATCCAAACTAAGCCAAATGAATTTTCCATCTCCTTTGAGACACGTTTCAGTATTGGGTTTTACCTTTACAGTCCAGCTTGGAGTTATAGCTTGTATTGTATAATTTATAACTCTGGTTGGTCTATTACTTCTGAATACCCACTGGGCTGTCTGAGTAATTTGTTTGTGCATTTGTTACATTATCAGCCGCAGATGTGTGCTGAAGTTGTTTTCGATCTCTTTTTAATGTTCCAGGAGCTAGCAGGGGAGCCAATAAAACGATCCCTGAAATAGTGTTGGCAAGCTGAATATAAACCATCCGCAAGTATCTGAAAGGAGAGTCTGACAGTGTTATTGACCAAGTTGTGCTATCACTGATGTTTTACTGTCTTTTTTTCCCCTCAGGAGACTGCCATTTGACTGAGTGGTCGTCTTGGAGCTCGTGCCAGTTGACCTGCCTGGAGGGGCGGAGCTTTGAAACCACCGGTCGCCAAGCGCGCTCCAGAGCCGTGATTATTCAAGACATGGAGAATCAGGACAGCTGCCCTCATCAAGTCTTTGAGACCCAGCCCTGTAAAGGTACTCGGGATGCCATGCATTTTCCATGCAAAGTCATACCAGCATCAGGTCACCGGTGTCAGGCAAAAGACGACTTCCTTCTTTCTTCCTGACAGTGACTGTTAACCAAAATGCACAATAATTGTTCAGTTAAATGCACCAAATACTAGCAGTTTGGTAACAACTACTTTGTAAAGGATTGGGCGAAGAACATTCAGAACAGCTGCCATATATCACCAATGCTTCCCTCTCCACAGCAGCTCACGCGTGCATTAATGGGTCATTTAAATGGACAAATTCCTTGTTACTACTGCCTCAGAACAATCGATCACAGAGTCTCTCAAACAGCTGATGAATTTACACTGGTCAGCGAAAATTAATTAATTAATAGTGCAGAAATATTTTCTTTCCACTACAACTAGTGTTAAAAAATAATATTGTGCTATAGTGTCGTATAAAACTCCAACTCCAGATTTTGAAGTTTGCTCTCAAATCCTTTTTTCCTCCTTGTCTCAGGGGTGACCTAAATATTTGTGGCTAAATTCTCAGGTTTGTGCTGCAGTTCAGCCAATTGCCTGGTGTTAGCTTGATGTGTTGGGAAAGTGTTGTGCCTCCAGCCTCCTCCGTTTAATGAGCATGTTGCAATCTCTCTTGTCAGGACTAAACAGACAAAGTCAGCATTTGCTCTAGCAATTACAGAGCTCATGATCGCCACACCTAAAAATAGAGTAAATATTCTCAATTAACATTAGCAAGGTAATAAAGACCGTCCGCCCTGAGAAAATAAGTCATTTGTGCCAGCTTCTGTTACATCCTATTGTTTTATTGTTTTAAAAGTTAGACCACTAGCAGCTGTGCAAATAAGTCGATGTTTACATTAATATCATAACTTTTAAACTTGGGAAGTCAGATTTTGTAGGGAGTGACGCAACTCTCGAGCTAAGGGCGTTCCCCTGGTAAAGTCGGAAAAGCAAACAACAACGGGATTTGTTTCTCGTTAGCAAGGTGGAGCCAGTCATGCAACACTAGCAACACAGTGCAGGGCTTTTTAAAAAAAAAAAAAATATTTAGCACCATTGCAGCATGTTCATAGATAGAATCTGATCAATTCTCTGCATATGGTTTATTTAGTAAGTAACAAAGTATCAAACAGTCGCAGCACAGATTAAAATGTTTTACGGTTTTACTGATTTTTGTGCTCATAGCAGCAATCCTGGATCTTTGAGTCTGGGTTACCGGGGCTCCTCTGACTTTCCAAGTTGAAAATCTCACTTGAAACGGCTTTCCTGTTTAAAATCTCAACTGGTAACTCAGTTAAACTGATAACTCCGATTCAAATGGAAGGCACTAATAGAGAGGAGCCATCCTTAATAGTGCCATCTACGCCCAGACCTCTGGATGTGAACACAGGAGCCCCACCCACCTTCTGTCTGTGAGCGGCAGCCAATCACAAGAAGGTTGGCTTCCCGCTTTTGAACCATAAACTCTACAAAGTTACTCTAGAATACCGCAAGGAAATAAATATGGAGCTGGAAATGAGCATATGCTGTAGGCTCCTTTTAATTAATGGTCTCCTAATCAAAAGTTGTGTGTGTTTGTGCTTCCACCACCACCCTACCTCCCAGCATGTTGCATGCCTGTGTTGCTTTAACAGCTGGTGTCTATGGTCCTTAAATAGGCATTAAAAATCAGTTATTGCAGGTTTTAAACTGTAACCGAGAAGCTGAAAAACATGCCCCCGAACCTTTGAACCACTCAAGCTGTTTCTCTTTCACTGGCTTTCAAGTTGACCTTTATTGTCTTCATAAATCTACAGATAAATAAATAAATGTAAGAAAAGATTAACACCATGGCGACATGGAAGGTCATCATTTACTGTGAGAAAAACTGCTTTTTTCCTTCTGCACACAGTGAATCTGGTACAATTTTCAACACTCGGTATTAAAAACAAAAGCTTCTTATCCCTGAAATGGATCAGTGACATGAATATTGCCTTCTGTTAAACATTCAGTAAACTTTGTCTTCTCATAAAAGACAGACAGATTTTTATATGGTTCTGTATGTGTGACAGAACTCTTATAGGCCTTTCTGTTCAAGGTAAAAGGCTAAAAGGTGGTACTACAAATGGTTTCTAAATGGGTATCTGTGCTGTAGATGGCAGTCTGGTGATTGTAATTGCAAAGTTCTCATTGAGACTGTGTCACGGGAGGTTAGCAATTCAAAATTACAAATTGCAACAAAAAGGCTATGATTAAACAGTCAGCATTTGAACCATAGAAGGGTCAGAACTGTTATTCCACTTATCCAATATTTGATGAAAAATGGAGGCCAATGCATTTGACTGATTATTGATTCACAAATTGGAGATATGTGTGTTTCACAAGAGACCTTTGTGACTTAGCTCTGAGTTTGAGTTAATATATATGTGTACATATATATAAAAAATCTGGACAAAGCTGGACTGAAAGATAGCACAGAGGCACTAATCATGGCGGCACACGAACAAGCCCAAAGCACAAGATCCATAAAAGCCGGGCTCTACCACAGCAGGTGCAGGCTGCGTGAAGATGCCTGTGAGATAATCCTGCTCATAGCAGCAGGGTGCAATAGAATAGAATAGAATGTCCCTTCATTGTCATTGTACATGTAAAATGAATTTGTGGGTGCTCCACACCAGCTGTCCCAAAATAAAATATAATTAGCAGACAGCAGGAATTAAATAGCAAACAGGAGAAATATAAACGATCAAGGGGAATATAGACAAAAGAAGAGAAATGTATACGAAAACAACAGAAAGGCACACATTAGAGAACAAGATGCTAACAGGCAGGGCATACATGGAATGCTATAACCGAGTGTCTGGCATAGTATTAAGGAACATCTGTGCCAAGTATGACCTGGAAATCCTGAGGTGAAAACGGGATACGGCGCCTAGGGTGGCTGAGAATGAACAAGCTAGGATTAAGTTTCCAGGCCTGGCAGAGGATAGAAGAC